ATATATACACCTTAGTCGAAGAAAGCAGAAATAGTGAGTTAGTCACCATACAACAGTTTCTTCAGGACCTCTCCATAGTAGGAGCTCAATGCCCTGGCATAGCCTATCAATGGACTTATCTTTACGAAGATGAAGAGCAGCCCTGCTTAGAAGAAGAAAAATGTAATAAAAGGTCAAAACATTTTGGTCGATGCTAGTGTAATTTAGATTTCAGCATTTGCCTTTGCTAGATAAATCTAGCAACATTCGAACCATTGGAGATAGAGCTTAGGGGCAAAACGCGTTATCTAACAGCCTCACAATTGTTAGATTACGGCTTTGTCTCTAGAATAATTTTCTCAGATCCTGATCAGACAGATAGCTTTGGGAATAAACTTGCTCATTCAGTACTTTGTGTAATGGAAGAACATCATCCATATGTAGAAGCATTAATTGATAGCAGACCACCAGAGTGGAAAGGAATATGGTGCAATCCAGCTAAACATAAAATGTACCTCAGAGGAACCTCGACATTTCACGAATGTATATTCACAACCTTAGTAAAATAATAGGACCTCTATATCGTAAGACCACACCCACATGACAAAAATATTTTAATCAACAAGATATAGCTCTAGTTAGAAAAATTAAAGACATTTGTAAAAATTTACCAGACCTACAACTTCCCTTGGAATCAGAATATATAATCGTAGAAACAGACGCAAGTCAATCAGGATGGGGAACAATATTATTAGCTAAACCTAGTAAGTATGATAGTAAAAATAAAGAACGCATTTGTAGATATAGTTCTGGAAAATTTAAAGAAAAAGACACGACCCATGGCCAGCCTAGATTTTAAAATACTTGGAGTAGTATATGTAATAAACAAATTTAGATTATTTTTGCACAAACCTTTTACAATTAGAACAGACTGTGAAGCTATAGTTAGCTTTCATAATAAACTTAATGAGCGCAAATTAAGTACCAGAAGATGGGCAAAATTTTTAGACTGTGTAGTAGGACAAGGATATAAAGTAGAATTTGAACATATTAAGGGGAGTAATAATAGGTTAACAGATTGGCTAAGTAGAAAAATTTATTTAGAAAAAGAAAATAACCAGCTTCATTTTTTTTTGCAGATAATGAAGAACAGCAAAACCATGAATTTTGGGGGATTCGCTCTTCCCATTCATGAAGGCAGAAACAAGTTCAGACCATTAACAGGAATTGAGCTAGACCCAGTTCAACAGTGTCTCTTAGGTAACCTTTGGAACAACCATAACCACCCAACTAAACATCTGTCAGTCTTAAACTCTCTTAGTATATATTTTTCAATAATCCAAAATAAACCTTTGTCTAAAAGTTTTTCTTTTTATGTAGTAGCTAAAGGAACCAAGCCTGGTATTTACCATGACTGGATAGAAGTTGAACCCATAGTTAAAAATTTTCCCACACCTCAGTATAAAGGATTTTATGACTTCGAGTTAGCCACTACCTATGCCCGAAGACAAATAAGAACTAGTTACTTTATTAGCCAGATAGCTAAAGATTACCTGGACACATTGGGCAAGATGCGGTCAACTATTCTTGCTACTAGTGGAGTTCCAGTTAGCCAGATAATTGGAAGCATTAGTACTGGAAGCAGTAGTTCTAACCCTCAGATGGATTCTCAAAATCCTTTCCAAATGTGCAGACATTGTGAAGGCCTTACCAGAAATTTCAAGAAAATTATGGATAAGGGCAAAAAGGTCAGTGAAGAGCTAGACCAGTTCCGAGACGAAGAAAAACAATTGAGAGCCACCATTCGAACCCTAACCAATCAGCTTAAAAAATTAGCTCTAGGAAAAACAACTGCCCCCTTTTCTAACCAAGAAATTAGACAACTCACCAGTGAGGAATTTGAACAATTGAGTGCTAGAATGTATTTCTTCAAGCATTCTATCATTCGATCTTTTGTGAGAAAAACCAAGTAATAGAGGACCTCAAACCCCATATGTACACCTTAGCCGAAGAAAGCAGAAATAGTGAGTTAGTCACCATACAACAGTTCTTCAGGACCTCTCCATAGTAGGAGCTCACTGCCCCGGCATAGCCTATCAATGGACTTATCTTTACGAAGATGAAGAGCAGCCCTGCTTAGAAGAAGAAAAATGTAATAAAAGGTCAGAACATTTTGGCTGATGCTAGTGTAATTTAGATTTCAGCATCTGCCTTTGCCAGATAAATCTAGCAACATTCGAACCATTGGAGATAGAGCTTAGGGGCAAAACGCGTTATCTAACAGCCTCACAATTGTTAGATTACGGCTTTGTCTCTAGAATAATTTTCTCAGATCCTGATTAGACAGATAGCTTTGGGAATAAACTTGCTCATTCAGTACTTTGTGTAATGGAAGAACATCATCCATATGTAGAAGCATTAATTGATAGCAGACCACCAGAGTGGAAAGGAATATGGGGCAATCCAGCTAAACATAAAATGTACCTCAGAGGAACCTCGACATTTCCAGGATTCCCAGGACTTCTCAATCGGAGACCCTGGCCATGCAGAAAATTTTCACTCAGAGACTAGCTTAATAAATGGAGGAAGTTTGCTAATAATCCTCTATTAGTGTATAATGGAAATTATGGACGTCTAGTTTGCGAAGATAGAAATCAGAAGATATATTGTAACCTAGCTATCCCAGGATATCCCTTCAGCAAAGAGACATTTGTCGATGAAAGTCAGTATCCTAACTATCAACATAGCGTCTCTCATGAGTCACCAGTAATGGGAGAAGATGACCAAGATAATCAATGGGAAGATGAACTAGCCATGGGGATGATTTTTATGACCAACTCTCGGCGGCAGCCCTAGACGATCTCTCAGACAGAATGTATGGGTGAAAAAAAAAAAAAAAAGCTAGCACACCATAAATAGACTATTGGAATATTTTGGAAGTATCCTAACAAGCCCCTGATTCAGAAATTTTCCTTGACTCTTTGCAAATCCACTTTGAAGATTCAATAACCAAGAGTCGACATCAATAATTGGTATTTCAGTAGAAGAAGACAAAATCTGTAGAAGATAAATACTCTCTTCAAATATCAGAGAAATGCACGTTAAGAAAGGACAAAAGATTTTGTAAATATTTGTGTCTGTAATTATTTGAGTCTATCAGTGATAAGGTTTTCCCTTCACTCACTACTTTAATAAAGCAGATGACCCCTACCCTGCTTTATTAAAGAAAAGCTGTGAAAATCCTTACACGTGTTTTGTAATAAATTATAGTGTCAAAATTTTATCAAAAAAGAGAATTGAATGATATGCAATAGGGCCTAAAACAGTACCCGATATCATTATCCTAATCTTTTATTGATAAAATTTTATCTAGAATAGTAAGTCAAAATCCATGCATTTATGACATGGAAAATTTTGTAAAAGTCTATGACCTAGACTTTAGTAGCTTTATACTTTTGAGACCAAAACTTTTGACGTTTGGATTGTTTGCAATCTTCAGACTTCTATGTATCTATCAACCGTGTGTATAAATTGGCATTCATGCCAATGAAAGAAGCAGAATGAAAAATTCCCTTTCACTCTGCTTTGTAAAAATTTCCAACCCCTCTCAAAAAACCTCTAAGTGTACTAAGTCTTTCAGAATTTCAAAGTCTGTAATATAATTTTTGTAAGTATATTTCTTATTAATATGAAATGTGAGTAGTTTCTCTTTTTCCTTAAATATTTCAAAATGGTAACTCTTTTATTCTAAAAGTTTATTTTCTTTTTGGAAAAACTAAGTTTATGGAATGCTTGTTTGCTCATTAATATTACATGCTTTGCACCTTCGTAGTACTGTTGTTTTCTATTTTATTACTGAGTGACCTTAGCTGAAGAGCTCATGTGAGCCTTGGTTAGGCGTTGGAGGGCAAATTGTAAGCAGAAAGAGAAAGGTAAGGAATAGAAAATAAAAATATACTATGTTGAACGAGGCTTAGCTTCAAGGTGAGAGTACATGTAATGAAAACAAACATTGCCAAAAAATAATTTTGCCAAAGAAAAGAATTTTAGAATATAAAGAGAGCAACCCGAGAAGAAATATTAAGGAAATATTGTTCATAAAGAAGTTTAAAAATAAAAAATTTTATGCCTTTAGAAGAAAAAACTTTGGATTAAAATCAAAACCAATACTGAACTTATACAAGAATTAGAAGATCAAAAATTAAGATATCAATTTCTCTTATCATTAGCTTCTGGCAGATCCCTAAAAAATTACAATTTAAAAATTTCTCGAATAAATAGACTTATAACTGTAAAAATTTAGATCAATAGTTATTGATTTAAATTATTAAGACCATCTCCAACGGTTCAGCCCATTTCCAACGGTTCAGCAAACCTGGCATCAGATTTGAAATTTGGTAAAAAAGACACTTTTTGGAGCTCCAACAATTTTACCAAACTAGTATTATAATGAAAATTGAACAAAAAAATCATCAAACTGAGAACAGAGGCCTCGTTTGGGATGCTACCTTTTTAGCCAATTAGCCAAAAAGTTACTAAATTAGCCAATTAGTCATACCAAAAAGTCAACAATTATGGCTTCTCTCTACTTTTTGCACAACTTTTCGTAATTAGTCAAAAAGTTATCCCAAACATACAAGTTTTTTTTACCTACCTTTTTAGCCAATTAGCCAAAAAGTTACTAAATTAGCCTGTTCCCAAACGAGGCCAGAATACAAGTTTCACCAAATTACTGTGCGTGACCATTGGAGGAGACCAACCGGTCAACTAGCCGATCGACCGGTTCCCTTTCAAATAGGTAGGTTCAAACCGGTCAAAAAGGTTCAGACATGTAAAAAAAAAAAAAAATTGTCTTACCAGTCAATTACCAGTCAATCAACCAATCGACCACTTCCCTTTTAATGCACGATTAAAACAAATAGTATCAAATTGAAAAAATTAATTTTTTTTATTAAAATTTAATAAAAAATTCGATTCAGCTCTAACTGAATTTGGCAGGGAGTTCTCGTCCCCCGCGTCCGCATTCACACTTCATTAGCCTAGTTGCCAGCAACGTATCTCTCTCTCTCACACACGCTCACTCACTCACACAAGAGAGAGAGAGAGAGAGAGTCCCACTCACCACACTCCCAGTACGAGAGCAGAGACTCTGGAAAAATGGTGAACACAACGCTTCGAAGCTCTCGCGGATCACTCTCTGATCGAAATAATGGCCTTTCCGGTGGATTCATTCGCTCCCCTGCTTCTTTCACCTTCAAGCTTTTCACCTCCGCCATAGCCTTTGCCGTCTTCCTCTTCTTCACTCTCTCTCTCCTTTTCACTTCCTCCACAAATCCTTCCGATCTTAATCTTGTAACTCCTCCTCCTGTCTCTCTCTCTCTGTCTCTATTATTATTATTTTTTCGAATTCGCATGTGTTGACTGAGACTGACTCTGTTTTGTTTTCGATTTAGGGTTTCAATTCTGGTTCTTATGGCGTTGGATCGATACGGAGATCGGTTCTCGCTCTCAAATCTGATCCTTTGAAGCCGCGATTGTATCAGATCACGAAACAAGCGAACGATCACCGTTCTCTTGTTCTCGCTTATGCTTCCTATGCTCGGAAGCTGAAGCTGGAGAATTCGAAGCTCGTTAGGGTTTTTGCTGATCTCTCACGGAACTACACGACTCTGATCTCCAAACCTGCGTATCGGACTCTGTTTGACTCCGATGCGAGTTCGATTGATGAATCATTGCTTCGGCAGTTCGAGAAGGAGGTGAAGGAACGGATCAAGGTTACTCGTCAATTGATTTCTGATGCCAAGGAATCTTTCGATAACCAGCTCAAGATTCAGAAGCTCAAGGACACGATTTTTGCAGTAAATGAGCAGTTAACGAAGGCCAAGAAGCAAGGTGCGTTCTCGAGCTTGATTGCTGCGAAATCGATCCCAAAGAGCTTGCACTGCCTCGCTATGAGATTGATGGAAGAACATGTATTGCGCATCCAGAAAAGTACTCGGACGAAGGGAAGCCGACGCCTCCTGAGTTAGAGGATCCAAGCCTTTTCCACTATGCAATTTTCTCTGACAATGTTATTGCAGCGTCGGTTGTGGTGAATTCTGCGGTGAAGAACCAGAAGGAGCCATGGAAGCACGTGTTTCATGTTGTGACTGATAAGATGAATCTTGGAGCAATGCAGGTTATGTTCAAGATGAGGGATTATAATGGAGCTCACATTGAGGTGAAGGCTGTGGAGGATTACACGTTTTTGAATTCTTCTTACGTTCCCGTGCTTCGACAACTTGAATCTGCAAACTTGCAGAAGTTTTACTTTGAGAATAAGCTTGAGAACGCAACGAAAGACACAAACAACTTGAAATTTAGGAACCCCAAGTATTTGTCGATGCTGAATCATCTGAGGTTTTATTTACCTGAAATGTACCCGAAATTGCACAGAATCTTGTTTTTGGATGATGATGTGGTTGTTCAGAGGGACCTGACAGGGTTGTGGAAGATAGATATGGAAGGAAAGGTGAATGGGGCTGTTGAGACTTGTTTCGGGTCATTCCATCGGTATGCACAGTACATGAATTTCTCACACCCTTTGATCAAAGAGAAGTTTAGTCCAAAAGCTTGTGGATGGGCTTATGGGATGAACTTCTTTGATTTGGATGCTTGGAGAAAGGAGAAGTGCACAGAACAGTATCACTACTGGCAGAATCTGGTGAGATTGGATTACTCTGGAAGCTAGTTTTTCATTTTTTGAATAATAGCTGACTTAAGCAGCAATAAGTAATAACCCTTCATTTGTTATACCATACGATTAGTCGACTCCGTTTGATGGGATTAAGGCTTGGTTTGGTTAGGTTAGGTTATACCATGCGATTCTTGGCTCCCTTGCTAGTTGTTAAGAATCTTTAATTCCTTGGGTTGATTCCAAGGCATCTGATTTTTTTTTGGCTGGTTACACAATTTTTTAATTGCACACTGTCATGAACCAATGAACTATTTGGTTATATTTTGCTCCTTCACAAGCACAAAACCCTTGCTCATCTCATGAGAAATTTTCATAAAATGGTATTTTAGTATGGTACTAGCTATGTATTGAAATTATGTTTCCACTGTGTGTCAGTTCTATTATGCATTGTCTATAGGAATTTTAGTTGTTTCATTCATAAATCAATTTTATGTTATCACTGACTAGAGATGCTGTGTTTGATGCAGAATGAGAACAGAACCTTGTGGAAATTGGGGACATTGCCCCCTGGCCTGATCACATATTACTCCACAACAAAGCCACTAGACAAATCTTGGCATGTTCTGGGGCTTGGCTATAATCCAAGCATAGGCATGGAAGAGATTCTCAATGCTGCAGTTGTGCACTTCAATGGGAATATGAAACCATGGCTTGATATTGCCATGAACCAATTTCGGCCACTTTGGACGAAGTATGTTGACTACGATAATGAGTACATCCAGGCCTGCAATTTCGGTCTTTAGACAGATGCTCTGAGCTGAAGCCTATGCTTGGAGGATCTGCCAATGCTAGTCCTGTTGCAAGCATCTTTTTCGTGAGGCTTATCTTTTTCCTTACACGTAATTTAGTGTTCTTATTTAGTGTCCTAGTAATTTTATGTCTACAAACGTATAGCTTTCTTCTTTTTCTATATTAGTTTGTAATTCTGCTTCAGTTCATGTGTTTACAATTAAATTATCTTGGCTAAATGTTAATAATTTTTTGGAAAATTATTGGATCATTACTCTTTCTATTAAAAACACTTCTATACTGGTAATGAAAGGAGCTGATGATTCCAATATATTTCAATTTTGTGATTGCAGCAACTTTGATTGCTCCTCATATTGGTAGGCACCTTATTTTCTATTTTTTCATCTTGTGCACTTTTAGCATGTGGTAATGCATTTTGCTGGTTGTTAGATTATTTACCCTTTGAATCTGTTTATATAGGGAAGTATTAATAATGCCAATTTAATGCTTTACAGTTTTCCACTACCCACCAGTCCATTGTGTAATCTGTGGAAGGAGATTCAGGCATTCATCCATATAAAAGCAGAACACATGTTATTATATGTTGTTGAGAACTCTCATGTCTGCCTAGAGATTGATTTGAACTATTTCAAATGAGCAAAGATCTCTGTTGGATTGTGATATGTAAAGTGGCAAAATAAGAGAAACATTATCCTTTTAATGTACTTTAGTCAATCTACAGTAACCTGTTAGTCTTCTGACCATAAAATATCATATGTGACATGACCGTCTGTGTCAAGCTAATTCAATAATCAATTTTGTAGGTATTATTGACAATTTTGGCCATTGTTTAGATATCATTTTGAATAAATAGTTTCACTCAATTAAAGAAATATTTAAATCCCTTGAACGTAGTGCAGAAGTAGTTGATAATAGGGGTAACTTTACATTAGTGCATGTTTGAAAATTTAATTTTAAATTAATGGTAAACTTTATAAATATTAAAAAGTAAAATCATAAACTTTATCATGTTTGCACAAAAATGTGATTTTGGCTAACATAGAAGGATTTAGTGGATTGCGGGTGTGCTAAGGCAAAGTATGCGTACGTGAATGAAAATGTTTGCAAAAAAATCTAACTTTTAAAATAGGGGATTGTGTGAGGTCCAAGGGGATAAAAACCTCCTAATTCTTGTTTTGTCTCAATGAAGAGGACTTAAAATCTCCTAAGAGTTTGAAAAGTCAAGAAGACAGATAGGCATAAGGAAATAAACATGAAAAATACCAATTTTATATATTCAAGCGGATTGAACATACAAAAGTGCAAGAACAAGTTTGAAAAACATAAAATTGAGTTACAAATGGAATGTGAACACGATTTAAGCCTCAAAACAATGCCAATGATGGCCAAAAAACACTAACATGACACTGATGTCAAAAACTAGGGTTCAATTATGGCAAAGATGCTTTTCAAGAGCTAAACTACGCTAGACTAGGGCTAAAAAGCACTAATGTTGTTTAATGTAGTTGATTGATTGATTGGTTGGGTGGGGTTTGCTTCATCTTCAAATGGACTATTTATAGAGGCTTAGTTCTCCTGAAAATCGTGAGCTGCCTCTTGGAAATCAGCAACTTCCTCCTAGATGATCTCCAGTAACTCTAGATAGTGAGCTGCTAGAGTGCCTCTTGTTCTGCCATCTGTCCCACCAGCCTCCTTCTCAGCAAGTTGTTGGAGTGATCCCCAATAATAGGGCTGACTAAATCCTCTTTCAATTTGGACCGATGGGTGGAGGGTAGGGCTTTTGGATGAGTGACACTTGTCCCTTGCTTAGCCAAAGAGGCACCTTAAATGTAGGAGTCGTTGGGTGCCTTTGAATTCTAGGACACTTGCCAATTAGTCATATTAACTGGACTTATTTACTTACAGGCCCTGATTGATAAATTTATTATTGTAAATTTATTCATAAAAATAAGGGAGACTAATAAATTTATCACTATCAATAAGACTTAATGCGTAATAAGTTCCAAAAGTAGGACCTATTGGTAATTTACCCTTGAATTCTAGCCATTGGATCATTAAATAGTGGATGCCTCCTTTGGATTAATGCTATGTGGCTACTATCAGAAGCAATTAATTCAAGAATATATATATATATATATATAATTAATATATATATATATTGATGCTCCACATAATCTTGTCCCTATTAACTAGGGATTTGATCAAATCAAATCATCACTATGATTGCAACCTATTTCCCAAATCTGCCACCATTTGGACTTTGCTATTATTATCCACTTTTAGTCACCAAAAGGACATGTGGCAGCCTCTCATTGGGCTATTATTTTCGGTACAAACACTGTCCCCCTCAAGCTTCCCTAAGTCTTTGGATAGTGGGAGCCGTCATACCAAAACGAGAGTGGAAGAGTTCGTGGAGACTGACCAAAACTAACTCGCAGCAAGGAGGTGGCCTTTGTCTAGCTTTTATATGGAACGACTTAGCATAACCAGATCGTAAGTACCAGTTTTCTTCTAGAGATTGCCTTTGGCAGTGGCTAGGGATGGCAATTTGAACCCGTCCCGACAGAGACCCGATCTCTTGACCTCGATTAGAACGATTTTTTCCTGAAAAATACTCCCGTAGGGATGGGGATGGTATTCGAAATTAAATTCCCAATCAGTTTCGGGGCGGGGACGGTGATTAGTGTTCAAGCCCCGGCCTGTCTCCCTCCCCGTCCCCAAATTTCCCGAAGTAAAATTACCATTTTACCCCTCTATATATATATGTATAAATCAACCCTTTCACTCACAAGCACTGTGCACCTCACACTCACTCATCACCGCCTTTCATCTCTCTCTCTCTCTCTCTAAAACCCTCCGCTGATCTCCATCCTTCCATCACTGCCGATCTCCCTCCTCCCATCACCGCTGAGATCTGAGTTCACTTTCCTCGACCTCCATCACTATCTCCGACCGTCGATTGAGCCACCACAACTCCACTATCTCTTTTTCTTCTCCAACGGCGGTGAGGCCAAGCTTGTCGAATCACCGCCACCATCACCACTGTTTACGGCAGTTGCAGTGACACCATCTGACCAAGCTTCGTTGATCCAGCAGTGACACCATCCGATGGTGAGGCCAAGCTTCGCCGATCTCCGACACAGCCCTCGCCCTAGATTTGGAATTTTCCCTCTCTCTCGATTTATTATATATATATATATATATTAGATTTGAGCATTAGATCTCTCTCTCTCTATGTTGTTGATGATGATGATGATGAACAAATCTCTCTTTCTATGTTGTTGATGATGAATAGATTTGTTAGATCTGATTTTTTTTTTCTTCCTTTTTTTACATTTGAGCTCAACAAATCTGTTAATGGTGATGATGATGATGATGATGATGATGAACAAATCTGTATGATAATGATGAACATATCTCTCTCTCTACGCTGTTGTTGTTGTTGTTGTTGATGATGAACAGATTTGTTGGATCTAATTTTTTTTTTGGCCGGGGAATTTTTGGAGTCGGGAAAACCTGATCCCCGTTAGGGGGCGGGGGCGGGGGCGGGGGCGGATATAGGTTCCTCGTCGGGGATCGGGACAGGGGCCGGGGACGGGGGAATTTCCACCGTCGGGGATTGGAGACGGGGAGTGTGATCCCTAGCCTGTCTTGCCCCGTTGCCATTCCTAGCAGTGGCACTACAGTTAAGCCATTCAACATATGGCAGCGTAACAAAAGGCCAGAGCAGCGTAACAGGCCAGAGCCTAATAGGGGTGTTGCTATGATATTTCTCCCACTCAGGCACGATCTCAGAAGCAAAGGGAAGGTGTCTTTCAAGAGAAGGATAGTATACTTTCAGAAAAGGAGGATATGGAGCTTGGAGGGATGGCCCAAGGCCATGTTGTTGTTGGGCTAACGATGTGAGAAAAGAAGGAATTGAGATAGGGTAACCTAAGAATGAAGAAGATTTGTTGTCGGCAATGAGCTTTGTGATGGTGTTGCCCACACTGTTGGAGTCTTTGGAGGCGGAAGAGAACCTTTTTGTTGCCATGGATTCACAAGTCTTGGAATTTCAGAAACTTTAGAGAGGGAGAAGAGGACTGTGTAGAAAAAGAAAGTAGAAAAAATGGCAAGCCTTTGGGTACTTATAAGGGGTTGATAGGTTCAAGGAATTGAAGAATCAATTTTGAATTTTAAATTGTTCAGAATCTGCCGCCAGAAATGATGAAGGATCCTAATTAATTAGTACAAATAAGGAGGAGATTTTGGCGGCAGGAAGATAGGCACAAATCCAATCAAGCCTCATCCTTTGTTCAAGAATAAAGCTTGAAGGGGGCAATGTTTGTATCGAAAATGACAGCCCAATGACTGCCACGTGTCCTTTTGGTGACTAAAAGTGGGTACCATTAGCAAAATTCAAATGGTGGCAGATTTGGGGAGTAGGTTGCAATATGGTGATGATTTGATTTGATCAAATCCGTAGTTAATAGGGACAAGATCACGTGGATCATCAATATATATATTAATTATATATATTTTTTTGAGTTACTTGTTTCAGATAGTGGCAACAAGGTATTAATCCAAAGGAGGAGGCATTCACTATTTAATGACCTAACAGCTAGAATTCAAAGGCACCCAAAAGGGGATAAACTAGAAATATTTAAGAATACAATGGATGAAGAATGTACTTGGGACTTGGAAGATAATGCTAACATTGCGTGCAAATCAATGGCCAATTGTAAGAGGAAAATCTCAAGGGAAGTCCTTGGAGAGTTGAAAATAAAGGGCCCTAACTCTAAAGATACTTGGTGGTGGATGGATGAGGTTCAAGCTGTAGTAAAGATTAAAAAAAAGTGTTTTAAAAAGTGGCAGAAGGAGAGTACTGAGACAAACCTTGAGCTACAGATTGGTGAATAAGGAGATCAAAAAAGTAGTAAGAGAGGCTAAGTTGAAGCCTATGATGACCTATACACTAGATTAGATAATAAGGAGGGAGAGAAGAGTATATACAAACTTGCTAAGATAAGAGAGGAAAATAAGAGATTTTAATCAGATTAAGTGCATCAAGAGTGAGAACTTTAAGGTGTTGATGAAGGATGAAGAGATTAAAGAGAGGTCGAAGAACTATTTTGAGAAGTAGTGAATGAGAAACGTGGAGGAATGTCAAAAGGAAAGGAAGTAGCCAGTAATAAGGACAACTAAGACTACATATTCTATCGCAGGATTAGAAACTTTGAAGTGGAGATTACATTTACGAAGATAAAATCGAATAAGGCTTTAGGATCCGATAATATCCCTATTGAAGCCTAGAAATGTTCGGGTGAGAAG